ACTAAAAATTGCACAGCAGACAACTATATAAATTAAGCCAGTGGCACAATGCTTTGAGCAGCCTTTCAAATTGTGTTCTGCATGGATTTAATTGCTAATGCAAAATGATATCATAATAAGCAGAACATCTGCTCGTAAACACAACTTAAAATGCCAGATTGCGTAAGTTCACCGCTGTAAACTCCGCACATAATAATATTAACCTTTTGCATTGTATCAGGTGACTTTTATTAGGAGGGTTTTATTAATGCTGATCGATGTACACAAGTGCATTTTATTGATGAAATCAACAAAACCTAAAGTTTATAATTACTAAACAATATGTGAAGATACTTTCCTCCTAAATTACTGAACTGGCATTTTCCAAATGTAATGTAACTTTTTCTCCCTAAAATTGCAAGTTTTAATGTCAAAATTTGCATAGTGTTATATTCAGTTGTTTTATTTTCATTTACTACCATAATGTTACAAATGTTTTTGTTAAATAGTATTTTAAAGCACAACATCACTGGGTTGGCTTAGAAGGAGTACACGTTTTTTGTAAATTATTATTTTCTATTTTGTTTTATATGTATGCTTACAGGTCCTTGTAGCATCTTTAAATATTACCACAAAATGTGACATTTTTTGCCATTTGCCTGAAAGTCTTTTGTGTTTTCTTGTGTAACAAAACATAAAGTACAAATTGCTCCAAAGGGGATATTTGCTCTATTTAAATGAATACTTAAAGTCCGTCTCCTTTAGTTTTGTTTTTTTTTCCCAAAAAGATGCCTTCCTTGCCTTCTGTATCACTGCTAGCTGCTGGTCCTTTTCCAGGCTGAATGGCACTTATAACGTAAAAACACCTGAACTAAAGAACCAGCTACTCTATATACCCTGGGAAGTTGTAAAACACACCTCCAAAAAAGCATAAATAATGTACATATCAAAAACAGCCAATAAATAATGAAACAATAAAAGAAAGTGAATAAATACGTTCAATAAATAATACACTCACCGGTCACTTTATTAGGTACACCTTGCCTAGTGTCAACAAAATATCCCCCACACCATTACACCACCACCAGCCTGAACCATTGATACAAGGCAGGATAGATCCATGCTTTCATGTTGTTTATGCCAAATTCTGATCCTACCATTTGAATGTCGCAGCAATCAGTCTGCCCATTCTCCTCTGATCTCTGACATTTACAAGGCATTTTAGTCCACACAACTGCCTCTCACTGGATATTTTCTGTTTTAAGACCATTCTCTGTAAACCCTAGAGATGGTTGTTCATGAAAATCCCAGTAGATCAGCAGTTTTTAAAAAACTTACACCAGGCTATCTGGCACCAACAAACATGCCATGTTCAAAGTCACTTTAATCCCCTTTCTTCCCCATTCAGATGCTCAGTTTGAACTTCACCACATCTACATGCCTAAATGCATGGAGTTGCTGCTATGTGATTGGCTGATTAGCAATTTGTGTTACCAAGCAAGTGAACAGGTTTACCTAATAAAGTGTAAATAAAAGTCCAATATTGTTCATACTCCATGCCAATTCAATATAGATGTACTATTCAAAGTCCATACAATTAGTTTTTTCACAAAAGTGCTCCCCTTTCCACTCTATGCTCAACACCTCCACACCACATTTAGCAGAGACAATTGACCCTTTGTGTAACAAATAGGACTAAATGCGCCCTAAGGCTAGGTTCACACCTATACAGTTTGCATTTGATCCATTTGTGCAGTGCATTTTTGTGTTTTTGCACATGCGTTTTTGCAGCATTTTTTATGTGGTTTGCGTTTTTTCCAACTTGTTGCTGGCCAGAATAAAACACAAAACGCATCAAAAATACATCAAAAACACACTACATGGTTTTCTGCAGCATCTCCATTGAGCTCTATAGAACTAAAACCGCCATGTTTTGAGTTTTAAAAAGTCCCTGACCCTTTCCACTGGGCGAAAACAAGATGTGAACCTGTCCCATAGGAAATAATGTTGAATGGACTGCTGTGCATTTCTGCAAAACGCAACGGAAAGCACATAGGTGTAAACCTAGACTCAATGCTGATCTAGACAAAGTGGTACTCCACTCCAGTGGAGTGGAGACACCCTAAGGCTAGAGCCACATTGAGTCTAGGTTCACATAGAGATCAATAGATTATTTACAGTGGGGATCGAAAGTTTGGGCACCCCAGCTAAAAATTTGTATTAATGTGCATAAAGAAGCCAAGGAAAGATGGAAAAATCTCCAAAAGGCATCAAATTACAGATTAGACATTCTTATAATATGTCAACAAAAGTTAGATTTTATTTCCATCATTTACACTTTCAAAATAACAGAAAACAAAAAAATGGCGTCTGCAAAAGTTTGGGCACCCTGCAGAATTTATAGCATGCAGTGCCCCCTTTGCCAAGCTGAGACCTGCCAGTGTCATGGATTGTTCTCAATCATCGTCTGGGAAGACCAGGTGATGTCAATCTCAAAGGTTTTAAATGCCCAGACTCATCTGACCTTGCCCCAACAATCAGCACGTTGGGTTCTTCTAAGCAGTTGTCTAGAAAACTGAAACTGAAAATAGTTGACGCTCACAAAGCTGGAGAAGGCTATAAGAAGATAGCAAAGCGTTTTCAGATGTCAATATCCTCTGTTCGGAATGTAATTAAGAAATGGCAGTCATCAGAAACAGTGGAAGTTAAAGCAAGATCTGGAAGACCAAGAAAAATATCAGACAGAATAGCTCGCAGGATTGTGAGAAAAACAATTCAAAACCCACGTTTGACTGCACGATCCCTCCAGAAAGATCTGGCAGACACTGGAGTTGTGGTACACTATTCCACTATAAAGAGATACTTGTACAAATATGGTCTTCATGGAAGAGTCATCAGAAGAAAACCTCTTCTACGTCCTCACCACAAAAAATCATCGTTTGAACTTTGCAAATGAACACATAGACAAGCCTGATGCATTTTGGAAACAAGTTCTGTGGACCGATGAGGTTGAAATTGAACTTTTTGGCCAGAATGAGCAAAGGTACGTTTGGAGAAGAAGGGGGGCACAGAATTTAATGAAAAGACCCTCTGTCCAACTGTTAAGCATGGGGTTGGATCAATCATGCTTTGGGGTTGTGTTGCAGCCAGTGGCACAGGGAACATCTCACGAGTAGAAGGAAAAATGGATTCAATAAAATTTCAGCAAATTTTGGATGGTAACTTGATGCCATCTGTGAAAAAGCTGAAGTTAAAGAGAGATGGCTTCTACAAATGGATAATGATCCTAAACACACCTCGAAATCCACGGGGGATTACATCAAGAGGCGTAAACTGAAGGTTTTGCCATGGCCTTCACAATCTGACCTCAACATAAATGAAAATCTATGGATAGACCTTAGAAGAGCAGTGCGTGACAGACAGCCCAGAAATCTCAAAGAACTGGAAGACTTTTGTAAGGAAGAATAGGCAAAGATACCTCAAACAAGAATTGAAAGACTCTTGGCTGGCTACAAAAAGCGTTTACAAGCTGTGATACTTGCCAAAGGGGGCAGTACAAGATATTAACTCAGCAGGGTGCCCAAACTTTTGCAGACGCCATTTTTTTGTTTTCTGTTATTTTGAAAGTGTAAATGATGGAAATAAAATCTAACTTTTGTTGACATATATAAGAATGTCTAATCTGTAATTTGATGCCTTTTGGAGATTTTTCCATCTTTCCTTGGCTTCTTTATGCACATTAATACAAATTTTTAGCTGGGGTGCCCAAACGTTCGATCCCCACTGTAAGTTTGAGCATTTTTGGAGCTTCGAGGTACAAAACACGAAAGTGTGAATGCAGCCTTAGACAGGAAGTGTGTTACTGGCTGGATCACCAGGTTATCTAGGGATTAGTAAACTGCAATATTACATTTCTGTATTTAGGTTTGATACCACTGTAAATTAATTGTTGTGATCTTTGAGGATTATTATTATTTTTTTATAATGCATAAAGTCACTTTAACAACCATAAACTTGCCCAGTAATGATGGAGAACCATTTAGGTTGAAAAGAGCAGAGTCACAGATTATTGAGGTAGTGCAGTTGCACATAAAATATCCATAATTACAAATGCTGTATAACTTGTGCCAGTCACAGGCATAATGAGGGCACCTTTTGGCAATAACTGAACAGTTTAAGTGCATGCCTTTACCATAACTGCTGGAAAGGCAAACAGCAATTCCAAAAAACTGACTTTTGACTATTCCATAAAACCGACCTAAATGCAAAAACATTAAACAAACCATCAAGAGTTGGCATGCCCATAAAGCTGTGACAACCCCCAGCTCAGTGATATTGGGAAGCTTGTCTGGTCTCTAAAGTCTCCCTGGACAGTGGCTGTAAAATCCTTAGCACTCCACTACACAAAGGCTCAAACCTACCTGTTTACCAACTAGCCCAATAAGGCTGCAAACATTATTATACAATGTTAAAATTCACAAGAAGCTGCACACCCTGTAAACTGCCACTCTAGCAGAAGTCAGGGCAACCTTTTTATTATGGCTCAAAGGGCAATTATAACAGTACATGCACCTAGTGACATCAGGAATGTTTTGTGCTGAAGTGGAAATAAACCCACCAGTTTAAGAATGCAGTATGGGAAACCTATGATCCCTGCTGGTTTCCCACACCATATTCTGGGACAAGGTCATCCAGTGCCCAGAGCAAAAATGACACAGAGCAACGCCCCCCCCCCCCAGTTCTTATGAAAGAGTCAAAGTCATTTCAGTAAAAGAGGAGAACCACCCAGAAACCTGGATCAGCACCTGGTTCAGCCTCTCAGCAAGCCACTCCCACCCCCTCCACAATTCAGCAGCCCAGTGAGCGCTTGGATGGCAGAGCAGAATGGGTAAACTGAGTGATCAGCGGTGGGGGACAGATGCAGGAGCGTACTCAGCACTCAGTTTGAGCTCTGATTTAAACAGTGTACAATGCAGTGATCACATAGATCCAAGCTTAAGCAATACTTTAGCAGCACCAGGCAGTACTGTGAGTCAGCATGCCCCCACCCCCATAAGAAAGTTGTTTCGCCCAGGGCCTCTGTCCCTTCTGCCGCCCTTGTCCCAACCTTGGGTGTCAGTGCAGTGTCAATGGCACCCCAAATGCAGGGTACAAATGCAGTGCATTTGTCTGCACCAGATCACATGGTACAAAATGACCCTGCAATTTGGTTGCAGTGCATTACAAAAATTGGTGCATGCAGGACTTTGGTGTGATACAGTGCGATATGAGCCCATTTAAATCGCACCGCACTGAATCACATGTGAATTGCACAGAAAAGCGGTGTCGTTTCTGTGCGATTAATAGGCAAATCATAGTGTGAATCGAGGCTAACTGCCTCCCATGCTTGAATGAAAATGTGACAGTTACAAGTGTGCTTATGTTAGCTCTAAACCGAACTGTCAAGCAATCAAATGGCTGGTGTGATAGCGTATCACTTGTGTAACACCATGGTCACTGCAGAACACGAGGCTAAGATGGAAGATTAGGATAGCAGTTCTACTTTAACGATTTTTTACTGCTTGCTAAAAAATATGTGAATATTTAAAATTCTATGATCTGGCCACAGGTGCAATTTTAACAGCTAGAACAGTATCACAATTATATCTTAATAGGAAAATATAATGTATTGTCAAGGAGTAGATAATTTTTGTTTGTATTGTAACAGTTACCTACAGTAAGTGTCACATAGTGATGAGCCATATATCAGTGAATGTGATGAATATCCTGTTTTAGGATTGTTCAGATAGGATCAGTTCAACTAACAGCATGGCCGCATATCTGTTGTTTGTAATTATGTCAGACTTGATCTACATGCTTTTTCATGAGCGATAACAGCAAGCAATGTATGAGATGATGGTTGCCTGATCTCTATTTATTTGTTTCTCTTGACTATTCTTTTAACTTTTTTAAACTGATCTGCTTACAGTCACAAGTTTTTGGGGTACCCAGAGAAACCTCATGTCAAGGACAAAGCCTTAATTATTAGCTTCTGCTTTTCCCTGACAAGCTGGTTGCACAGACCAGTATTCATGTTTTAGACCTCATTTGCATATTTATTTAGATACCTATGGGTAGATTGAAGTATAGTCAGAAAATGTTCTATGCTACTAAAAAAATTGCTGATATTCTTGCGAATAGTCATGAATATCAGTCTTTTTGATAGAAACATTACCTAAAGAAATGTTCCCTCCCCCTAATGCTACCTATTCTGCCTAACCTGTATAAAAAAAAGATACATGTACGCAACAATTTTTAGTCTATTGCAGTCCAGACACATGATCCTGCAGATCTGGCTTCAATGTCAGTGAGTAGTGGCAGCAAGGGAGAAGAGGGAACACCAAGGCCAAGAGGTCAAGAAGCCAAGGCTCCCCAAACTCCCAGCTGTTGTCAAGTGCTTCCTCCTCTCCTATGCATGTGCCGCTCTTGTGACTGGACTGGATTTTGTGACCAGACTGGGCTAAAAACTAACTAAATATTGACTAAAAACAGGTACAGTAAGTATGCACATCTTTTCTTACACAGGATAAGCAGAATAGGTAGCAGGGGAGGGATGATAACAATTTTAGGCAAAGTTGGTGTTAGGCTGGAATTCCACTTTAAGCATGATGCCTTCCAGTTTAAGACCAAAAGTTTGGCGTCTTTAGGATACATAATCTGTATCTATTAGACGGCAATTTTTTTCACAGCAGAACAATCTGTGCAGTTTATAGTTTGCTAAGCGCTGTCCATGGTACTGCAGACTCTTTGTAAAACTGCCCTGGGAAATTGCTGACAGTGAAATATTGTTCCGTAATGAAGATCAAAGAGAAAACAAATAAGAACTGGGAGGTATAAAACAAATCCGGCCAAGATTCCAGAACAATCTCCGGCTAGAGGACAAGGCCTGCTGTCCCTTTGAAGAACAAAAAAAAATTGCTATAATTCAGCACCAACTGAGCTGAGACTGAAAAAATGGGCTACAGAGATTTATTGTGTTACTCAGCATTATAATTGCAAGCAAATAATGGCTGATTGCACTATTTAACAAATGGAGCAATGACAATGACCATTTAAGAATCCCATAGCATAATACCTGCAATGAAGTATACTGTTATACCTTGTAACACTTTACAAAGAACTATGTTGTACAGTGATTCTCAGCAGCCACTCAAATTTTTTTTTATTTTATTAGGCTCATTTTGGGGAAATGCTTAATGGCTACATCCCATAGGCATGACAAATTATATCTGCATTAAACTGAAACAATTAACTCTAAACAGGGGTTGGACCTTCAAGACAACCTGTCTTTCACATATATTGTCATATTCTACCTATCTCTACCCCAGTGATTTGACAACAATTCACATCCTTAGCCATGTAAATTAAATGAATAACACTTTTGCAGACTTTATGACACCAAGGGATGGGATTATGTAATTATGATAGTGGTTCCACAACTTTCACACCTCGCATTCTGATCTTGGACCTCAACATTTACCTTGCCATGGTGACTATACTACATGCATGAAAATAAATATTGGGGTATATTCCTGGCAATCATTAAAACTAAAGTAGTGGCTTCAATATGCTGTAAACAGAGGTGGACTGACCATTTGGAAACTCGGGCACTGCCCGAGGGCCCGGGGTCAGTAGGGGGCCCCATGAGATGCCCCTGGTACCTCTTTCATAGGCTTTTTTGAGTTTGGGCATGGACACAGGGGCCCCATGATCCCCTATTGCCCGGGGGCCCCATGAGTTGTCAGTCCACCCCTGGCCGTAAAACATTTTCAACATAACAAAACAAATCCAATCTACTGACTACTACTAGCTATGCATCTCATAGGGTTCACCAACAAGCAAAATCAAAATATTGGCAAGGTGTAATAGTTTTCAAGAATGGTAAATCAGAGTCCAGATGTCATCTTTCTAAAGCAGATTGGAAAACAATTAAATGAGTTTATCACTCTCATAGTTAGTCTGGCTGAAAAAAGACAAAAGTCCATCCAGTTCAACCAAAAAAAATAAAAAATAAAAAAGTTATAATCCTATACCCACAATTGATCCAGAGGAAGGCAAAAAAACCCCCAGCAAAGCATGATCCAATTTGCTCCTGCAGGGGAAAAAATTAATTCCTGATCCCCCGAGAGGCAATTGGATATTCCCTGGATCAACTTTACCTATAAATATTAGTAACCAGTTATATTCTGTGTATCTAAGAAAGAATCCAGGCCTTTTTTGAAGCAATCCACTGAGCTGGCCAGAACCAACTCTTGAGGGAGTCTATTCCACATTTTCACAGCTCTTACTGTGAAGAAACCTTTCCGTATTTGGAGATTAAACATCTTTTCCTCCAGACGTAAAGAGTACCCCCCCCTGACCTCAGTGATGACCTCAGGGTGAAAAACTCTACACTGAGTTAGCTATTTGAACCACTGATGTATTTATACATGGTGATCATATCCCCCCTTAATCTACTCTTCTCAAGAGAGAATAAATTCCGTTCCTCTAATCTTTCCTCATAGCTGAGCTCCTCCATGCCTCATCAGTTTGGTTGCCCTTCTCTACACTTTCTCCAGTTCCCCAATGTTCTTTTTGTGAATTGGTGGCCAAAACTGAACAGTATATTCCAGATGAGGTCTTACTAATGATTTGTATCGGGGGGGTAATATGATATCTCTCTCTCTGGAGTCTATAGCTCTTTTAATACAAGAGAGGATTTTGCTCACTTTAGAAACCGCACAGCTTGGCATTGCATGCCATTATTAAGCTTGTGATCTACCAGAACTCCCAGATCATTCTCCACCATTGATTCCCCCAGTTGTACCCCCCCCCCCAGTATGTATGATGCATGCATATTCTTAGCCCCCAAGTGCATCACCTTACATTTATCATCATTAAACCTCATTTGCCACATAGTTGCCCAATTAAACAGTGCATTGAGGTCGGCTTGTAAGTTGGAGACATCCTGTAAGGACGTTATTCCACTGCACAGCTTGGTGTCATCTGCAAAGACTGAAACAGTATTTTTAATCCCAGACCCTATATCATTTATAAATATATTATTAAAAGTAAGGGTCCCAACACTGAACCTTGGGGTACACCACTGACAACCCTAGACCATTCAGAGTATGAATCGTTAACCACTACTCTCTGAATACGATCTTTTAACCAGTTTTCTATCCATTTACATACAGATTTTTCCAAGCCCGTAGACTTTACATTACACATTAGCCATGTGTGGGGAACTGTGTCAAACGCTTTTGCAAAATCCAAGTATACCACATCCACAGCCACCGCTCTGTCCAAGATTTTGCTCACCTCCTCATAAAAAGAAATCAGATTTGTTTGACAACTTCTGTCTTTCATGAATCCATGCTGTCTGTTGCTTAAAATATTTTTTTTTCCAGCAAGAACCCATCTATGTGGTCTTTTATTAATCTCTTCAGTATCTTCCCAACTATAGAAGTTAAACTAACAGGTCTATAATTACTTGGTAAAGATTTTGATCCCTTTTTAAAAATAGGCACTACATTGGCCTTACGCCAGTCCAGTGGTACTATGCCAGTCATTAAAGAGTCCCTACAAATTAGAAAAAATGGCTTTGAAATGACAGGGTTCAATTCTTTAAGGACCCGTGGGTGTATGCTATCCGGTCCAGGTGCTCACCTGTTCTAAGCTCACCCGTGTGTGATCACTGTCAAGCAGCCAATCAATAGCTTCAGGCACCTTAGGCAATCTATGGCCAGGCTCTGTCTTATAGGGCCAGCGTGCATGCTGACTGCATTTGAGCAACACATCTACATGCTGGCAGCTAGAACCCCTGTGTTCTCAAGTGTTTTCCTGTTCCACCCAGTGTTATCCAGTCTATACCCAGCTTCTGCGTGCCTCCAGTGATCCTCAGCATTTCCCAGTATTATCAGTGATTCCCAGTGTCTCTCAGCTTGCATTCAGCCATATGATCCCAGTGTACCCCAGTCTGTATCCTGCTCCAATGACCTAGCTGACCTCCTGGCAGCATCCAATTTTCCTTTACTATTGCCTCTCTGCTCAAGTCATTTTACCTGTTTCTTTGCACCAGTGTGTTTTCTTGTGATTTTTAGCTAGCCTTTCGTTATCAACACCTGTGCACTCCCAGCCTGTTTTTCTTGTCTGTTCTTCTGTGTGATCCCGTGCACTCTCACTAACATTCCTAAGCTATCTTCTGCCTAGCAAATCCAGTGCCCCAATGCTGCAAGGGACTTTCACCTTCTTTTAGTAGTGGCCTGCTCAGATGAGTCAGAGGAATGCAATCTGGGTATCACCTACAACATAACATCTCCACCTTTAGAAGCTCTGTTGAAGACCAAGTAGCACTCTGTACCTCTGTCCATTTTAGGTTTCTTACCATCACCAGCACACCAAGCTCTCTGTGCTCTCTGTGCATTGTGTGACCATCAGCCCAGCTACTATAACTAATTTCTGGTGAGCAACTCTGCCCCTAGTGGTAGCAGATTCACAATCTGTGACAGTCTGTACAAACCAACATGTCTGAGGCCCCACAGAAACTAGTAGATCCAGCCAATTGTCTCTTCCATTCAGTCACCAATCACCTGGATCAAATCAATGCTTCCCTTGCTGCAACACCTGAACAGTCGGCCTCATTTCTGCCACACCCTTTCCAGCAGCCAGTGCCCTTGGTGGCACCTTCTTTGCACTTGCTGCCATCTTCTCACTTTTCAGATGAGTCAAAGGCCTGCTGTAGCTTTGTGAACCAATATAGCATCTACTTTGATCTACAGCAACAATACTTTCCATCTGACCTCGCTAAGGTAGCTTATGTTGTGCCCCTGCTCTCTTGGAGACAAAATATAGCCCAGGAAGGGAATTTGTGGGTGTTCCAAGAGACAGTTTTCCACTTTAGCATGGAGCCCATTGTCCTGATGCATGCTGTCTGCAAGCAGGGAGACTGAAGAAAAGATGGGAATGTCATCCAAATTGATGACCACAAAGACATAAAGTAGGTCCTGAAAGATCTACTTCACAAAATATTGGAAAACTGCAGGGGCATTGCACAGGCTAGCAGGCATTACACAATATTCACAGTGGCCATCCTTCATGTGTAACAGTTTTTATGTAAATTAAATAGTTTTATTTAAATAAATTGTAAGCTTCCTGAAAATCTAATTTTGTAAAGATTTCAGCTGCAGAGAGACTGACAAATAGTTCAGTAACAAGTGGCAATGGACAACAATCCTTTCATCACGATGGTGTTCCTTGAAATAAATAAAGAGCAGATCTTTTTATTCAGGCAACTTTGGTCCAAAAAAACTCAATGAAAGCTTTCAATTTGGCTGAATGAGAAATCGGTTATTTTGTGGTAAAATCGATTTCACCTGATCTAATAATACCAAATGTTTAGATTCCATTTGCTCAGTTCCAGGAAGACAGTCTTAACTAGCCCCTTGCAAAAATTGTTCATTCCCAATTTAGTTTTCAGGCAATTGGTGGGTGTCAGGTCTCTGCTCAATCAAAATAGTGGAAACCAATCAGTGTGGGTCAACAAAATAAAACATAAACAAAAAATGTTTAAACGTTGGTTGCTATGAAACACTGTTTATAGTGATCTCACTACAACCCCAGTATACAAAATATATGCTAAAAATGAGTGTAGCACAACCTATATACAGTTAATCAAACAAATAATGTCCATATCATAAAAATAAAAGTCCATATAAAATGCCTTCAATCACCATTTTGTATAAAGTCAATGAGTCTTTCAAATCTTACAGGGCAGGTAGTGCCACATGATTCTTCACCACATATAACATATAGTTGCTCATCTCCAGATTTGACCTCTGAATGGAAAATGAGGTCAAATAATGCTAGACCCCCCTCAAGGTTATTTTTTCCTATCCCAGCATTAATCTCGAGGGGGATCTAGCGTTATTTGACCTAATTTTCCATTAAGAGGTCAAATCTGGCGGTGAGCAGCTGTATGTAATGTGTGGTGGAGGCACATATGGCACTACCTGTCCTGTGAGATTTGGAAGACTCAAGGTCTCTGCTAAAGTCATGTGGTCTCTTTTGAGGAAGGCTCATTTTTTCAACAAAGGTGATGGTTGGCTCCACCTGTCTCCCAGGCCCCTTCAGCAAACTGGGTTGTGCGTGGTGCTGGATATAACACGGTTTTTGATATACAGTTGCAAGAAAAAGTATGTGAACCCCTTGGGATTACATAGAGTTTTGCATGAATTGGGCATAAAATGTGCTCTGAACGTCATCTAAGTCACAACAATAGAAGAACACAGTCTGCTGAACATAATACTACACAAACATTAGATGTTGCCATGGTTTAATTGCACATAACATGTAAACATTCACAGTGCAGGGAGGAAAAAGTATGTGAGGCCCTAGCTTAATGACTTCTCCCAGAGCTAATTGGAGCCAGGAGTGAGCTAACCTTGACTCCAATCAGTGTGATGATATTGGATGTGTTGCTGACAGTTGTCCTGCCCTTAAAAAACACACACACTGTTTTGGGTTTACTGGTTTCAAGAAGCACTGTCTGATGTGAACCATGCCTCGCAGAAAAGAGAGCTCTCAGAAGACCTACGATCAAGAATTGTTGACTTGCATGAAGCTGGAAAGGGTTACAAAAGTATCTCCAAAAGCCTTGATGTTCATGTGTCCACGGTAAGACAGACTGTCTACAAATGGAGAAAGTTTAGCACTGTTGCTACTCTCCCTAGGCATGGTCGTCCTGTAAAAATGACT